TATATATTGTTACAGGAATTAATTGCTTTAGGAGAATTTGTTGGAGTAGAGAACAGAGGATTATCTGAAGCAGAAATCAGCAAACACTTGCATTCATCTACATTTCAATCTAACAGTTCCAAGACCCTTATTGATCGGTAAGTACGCGAAAATCAGCCACTCATTTGAAGATATGAACTCATGACACCGTGGTTTACATTGTGACATCTTGACCGTTTGATCGCTCTCTTTAGAACAAATTATAACAACTTGAAAATGTGGATTTTTTGGACGAATAGATGTGTGGTGTGTCAACTGGAATACGAAGAAGGAGAGAATCTAGTGGCACTTCCATGTGATCATCCTTACCATTCAGATTGTATACAAAAATGGCTTCAGATAAAGAAGGTAATATAATTTGCTAATTGCTCTCATTTATTCTTCTTGCCTATATATCTAATTGATGTTAATTATTTTATTTTTCTTTGCAGATTTGCCCTATATGTAGTGATGAGGTCTCGTCCACTGATGTACCCACGAATGTATAGCTCTATGTCACTTGTTAGGGCGGAGCTAGGGTTAATGTTACGGGTTCGGTTGAACTCAGTAACTTTGGTCTAAATTCTGTATTTGTTGTAAGAAATTTATTGAATATGTACAAAATATTAATTTAGAATACATTAACTTAAAAGGACTAGAATCCCCGTAAGATTGGCTCTGCCGCTTTCTCTTGTATAAAATCAAAATTCTTGTACTTAAATCAGTCAAGATTCATTGATATTGCTATGGGAAATTGGGAACTGGATTAAACGCGCGACTTTCTCAACATCTATTTTACTAATTACAGAAATTCTATTTGAATTGAGGGATGTGACCTTCATGTTCTTTCTAGAACCCACAGCATGAACATTAAAAATATATAAGCAGTAGCATGAACTTTAGCGACACATTAAAAATATGAACATTTTATGAATACTATTCCTTTTAATATATATATAAAAGAATAACAATTTTTATCCACATTCACAGCAGAATTGGCTGGGCCATTGTTAATAGTGAATGGTTAATCAAGCTGGCACACTTAGAAGCAGTAGCCATGGACCCTTTATTCTCTGATCATATGCCATTGGCTATTGAAATTGAGCGACCCACGGGAAGAGGTACTAGACCCTTCAGATTTTTCAATCACTTAGCCCAACATCAAGATTTCCTAGACCTAGTTGCACAATGCTGGAATACATCAAATAACAAGATTGGAATGCAAGGTATATGGTTAAAGCTCCAACAGGTTAAGCAAGCAATGAAAGGGCTTAATACCAAAGAATTTCCCAAGGTTGATGAAAAGGTAAAGCAAGTTAGGCAACAATTGATGGACCTTCAAACAGAAATGAGAGATCCTATGCATCACCACTCTCTTTTTGAACAAGAAAGAGAGTTGAAACTGCGACTAAAGAAGTGGATATTAGTAGAGGAGAGCATACTCAAGCAAAAGTCTAGAGTCCAATGGCTCAAACTTGGGATGCCAACAATGCTTACTTCTTTGCAAGCATGAAGAACAAAATAATACAGAACAAGATAAGGAGATTAAAAACTGCTGAGGGGCACACTACTACAAATCACAAAGATATTGAGGTAGAAGTCACTCAGTTTTACCACAGGTTAATGTTTAGGATTTAAAGACACCTCTCATTTGCCTTCTCATCTGTTTAAGACATTTGTATCTTCTCTCTTTAGTATTATTT